TGTTTATGGTTACTATTTTTTTTTGTATTATGAACCCCAATCAAGGATCAGGGCCCCACTATGCTAGGCACTATAGATGAGATTTCCAAAAGAGCCTAAGTAATTTAGGAGCACAAGTCTCATTGACTTTCAATGGGACTTCTGCACCTAACTCACTCAGGCACTTTTGAAAATCTCAACCTATACAAACAACTCCTTAAAAGGCTATGGAGCTGAACATGTTTCCCATGAAGCCCTTTCTAATTCTGTTCCCACAGTTTTGTTGGCAGGCCCCCTAACCCACTAGAAATCATAGCAGCCTGAAAAAAGTCATCCTGGCCTTTTTCCAGATTAAAGGTTTGAATGCCCATGTGCCTAGAGCAGTGGTTCCCAAACTTGTTCCACCGCTTGTGCAGGGAAAGCCCCTGGCGGGCCGGTCCGGTCCGGTCCAGTTTGTTTACCTGCCGCGTCCGCAAGTTCGGCCAATCACGGCTCCCAGTGGCCACAGTTTGCTGCTCCAGGCCAATGGGAGCTGCTGGAAGTAGCGGCCAGTATGTCCCTCAGCCCGTGCTGCTTCCAGCAGCTCCCATTGGCCTGGAGCAGCAAACCGCGGCCACTGGGAGCCGCGATTGGCCGAACTTGCGGACACGGCAGGTAAACAAACCGGACCGGCCTGCCAGAGGCTTTCCCTGCACATGCGGTGGAACAAGTTTGGGAACCACTGGCCTAGAGGGCAAATTTTTGCCTTCACTTCTATGAGCAAAATAGTAGGAGGAACACGTGGAGGATTCCTGAGCCCTTTTGCTTGGGGGAGATGGGAGACAATTTGGCCATGGCTTCCTCCAAGTACTTACATTCCCCAAAATCTTCCCTAGTATCAACTTTGCAACTTCCTGAGCTACTCACATTTTGGGGAAATTCCCTGTCACATCTCTAGCTGCGAACCAATACATCTGAAATGTGACAATGACATAACTGTAAAATGCACTGGCAGAAAGCGCTCTTAAGTCTTCTCCATCCCTCATTTCCATGACTGTGATGTCACTCTGATTCCATGCCACAAGCTTTTTTAAACCATATTTGAGCCTATTTATGCATGCATTGTAAACCCAACTAGGACAGGGAGAATAGTTTAACTTAAGGAACAGTTAAATGTTCCCAAACATTTGTGGTAGCATACATGTGTGAAGTGTTAACCTCTTTCTTTGCTTACATACCATAGCAAGTAATAATATTTTACATTTATATAGCACCTTTCAGTCCTATATATCCCAAAGCTCTTTACAAACTAAGGCATCCATTGCCATGGGATCTACAATATCTATGCATCTCATTCAAAAGATCCCTACACAGGAAACTGCATGTATATTATGCACAAAAACCTATGTTAAAAAACGTTATTACATTTGCAAAGTCAAGCATTCAAAAGTTACGAAATGCCAGTATTAAGATTGCCTGTGCAACCTTAATTTGGCTCCCTTGTGCATATGCACTGATAGCGTCTTTAATTACATGATCATGCAGTGTTTTTTCCATGGCTGAAATGTTTTGGCTGACAATTTGCAGAAAAAATCAGCCTAAGTCAGATGTCTGGCATGCAAAATTTCAGCCCAATTGGTTAAAGTTTCATAAATTTAAAAACAATTGAAAATAGGATCTTCTAACAGGAAGTGTTGAGCAGCCTTAGCCATGCTGCCAGCCCCACCTATAATGTAATACCTTAGAAGCAGAAACTGTTGAGCACTCTGCTGAGATTTGAATCTGGGGTTGCAGGTATTTCACATCTGAGACTCAGGTGTTGTCTAAACACAAAGTTGCCGCAGCTTAACTAAAGATGTGTGTTTTAAAACTAATTTAACTAATCTGGTCCATACCCCTGTGAGGGCACTCTTAACTCAGTTTAAACCTGATTTATATCAATTTAGCTTATTTCAGTATAGAATAGACTTAAGCCAAATTGATATAAGCCAGGTTTGCATTGATTGAAGAGTGTCCGCATAGAAGTTTGCCACAGTTTAACTAAATTCTAGAGGACCAAGAAAAAGTGTAGAGGCTGTTTGAAGGTCCTGCCCCCACAAGGGGAGAACCAGATTGGAGTTCTGACCTGTCAGTTTACTCAGTGACTGCAGGTGTCTGACAACAGAAGCCAGCAGTTAGAAAGCTGGAGCCAGCCACTTCTGGTGAGGAGGAAATGAAGCAAAGGGGCTGCACAAGAGAGAGAATGTTCCAAAGTCCATGAACATGGTGGGTTAGCAAAGTAAGAAGCTAGAACTATGGTGGATCTAGAACTCTGAACTCCAGTTTTGAGGGGATAAAAACAGGGGTGTGAGAAAGGTCCAATGACAGATTGTGAAACTGAATTATTTTGCAGTGGAGTCCAAAGACAGGGAAGGGTGATAAGCAAGGTTTGTTAGTGAGTTTAAACAATTTAATAGCCCTTTTTGGGTTAAGAATAGATTAAGAGAATGTGAGCACATCAGCCCAAGGTTGGAAGCAAAATCACTGTGGGAGATAAAAACCCAGTTTTATGAGCTAATTTGTTATCTCAATTTCAACCTGTTGTAAATGTTAAATGTAGCGTTCCCAATGAGGAGAAAGAAAGATCCGGGGACTAGAGGAGCAGAACTTGGGACAGGTCCCAAGGTAGAGCTGGAAAAATCTCAGGACATAGGAGATTGGAGAGCAGAGAATGGTAAGAGTGCAAGAAAACCGTGGGCCCTTTTGTGGGCAGTCTCAACAGAGAAGCCCAGGACTGAAAGGGCCATGAGACAAAGCTGAGGGTACGTCTACACTGGAGCTGAAAGATGTAATTTCCAGCTCAGGGAGACGTACTTGTACCAACTCTGATCGAGCTTGTGCACTAAAAATAGAAGTGTAGCCGAGGCAGGATGGGCTATCCACCCCAACTGTGATCCCTTGTGAAACCTTAGGTAGATACTCAGAAAAGCTAGTCTCTCTGGCTGCTCGCGAAGTCTCAGCGATGCTGCTCTTTTTAGCACATTAGCTCTATCAGAGTTAGTATGGACCTGTCTCCTCAAGATGGAAATTACACCTTCCAGCTGGAGTAGATGTACCCACTGAAGGATTTCAATGTGTTAGGCTGTGGATTTACCGTCCATTGTGAGGAAGCTCTCAGTACTACTGCCATGCTATATCTGGCTTGCAGATAAACACAGGCCTAGATGCCTAATTCCCATTTATTTCAAATCCTACTGGGTGCTTATTTTTAGGTGCCTATATATCTTTAAAAATCTGGCCCGAAGAGTCTAGAGTTATGTTTATTTAGCCGTAAGGCATGGCTGGCAGGGAACAATAAGATGCCAGCCCAAAAGAGACCTCACCATCCCTCCACTAAAAGACACACAGCAACTCCGGACCAAAAAAACCCCGTTCGGGCTGCAACCTCATTATTACTATAATAGTAAGTGCCTGACAAGGTCCCTGCCCTTGATGTTATGGGATAAAAGACAAAAACAAATATGGGGCAACCAGTTTGAGGTTTTCTGTAGCAACTGGAAACACATCAATACCAGGTTTTGATAACTGAGCCGGCACACGCTATCTACTGAGGGACAAGGAGCTTCCATTTTAAACATCATCTCTGTAATTCAGAGTTAAATGAATGGTCACATAGCAGCAGATGGAGCTTCACCTTCAGCTGAAGTGGTAGATATCTTTGTTTTTAGAGCTGAATCCCATTAATAATTCCAGGGTGCTTTGGCTGCTAACCAAAGGCCCAAATCTTCAACACTTGCAGTTGTAAGCAGAGTCAGGATGAGCTCTACCCTGACATTTGGTGGTGAATTATGGCGAGTGTGGAAAAGAACTCCAGGGGCTGATCTTGTTTGCATAAGCACACCCACTCCCCTGGCATGAAACAACAGCAACTCAAAGTCGTTACTTTAGCTGGTGTGGGATCCCCAGTTTTCTCTGTTATTGGGGCAGGAAGAATAAAGTTTTGTTACCCTGATTCTGTAAATCAAGGCCAGTGGAACTGTTGTATGACAGAAGGACTGAGTGAGTCCTTCACCATTACCTAAATAGCACTTGCTTGACAAGGGGCATGGGTTACAAAACTCAGTGAATTGAGTGAGGATGAGGATAAGTAATAACTTAGAGAATTTTTTCACTTCAAGGTCCCAGAAACAAAGGCAAGGTTTTCATCTCAAGGCCAAAAGACCAAAAACATCAAGACAATTGATCACGGCCTTGGATAGACCAAGAGACTACCTACACTTGACCAGAGCTTTTGTACCTGATGGTATGGGTCCCCCTCGGAGGGTGTGAAACACCAATTGTACTACCTCCTCTCTCCACTGTTGAATGTCAGAGCTAACTTTGATTCCATTAGGAGTCTAGTTACAGGCTGCTGAGCTGAATTCACTTTGGGCCAATGGTGCACTAGCACTGGGGCTCCCCTACTATAAGCTGAAATTGCTAAGAGCTGAAATCACAAAAGAGCTAAAGTTATTAAGAGCTGAGATCACTGAGTGCTGTGTTAACTAGTGGGGGAGCCTGAAGCTATATTGTTAAGCAGCTGGCAGAGCAATTTGTGGGGACGACTGGAGGAGCAGCGAGTGGCGCGGAGCTTTGCGGGGCTGGTTGGAGCGGCCCAAGGAACAGCGAACGAAGGGATGGCTGGAGCAGCTCACAGGTCGGGGAGCGGAGCAGCTTGTAGAGCGGAGCAGTTTGTGGGACGGCAGGAAGTGGACTGGCTCGTTGTGACGGAACCCCTAGATACAGAACCCGGCCCTTGTTGCTGCCAACTTAGATGGGCAGAAGGGTTACACAGTAAATAGCACTTACATGAGTGGGGGGTTGCAGGGGATCCGAGGGGCCCGGGGTCTTTGGGGGAGAGAGGAGGAAGCAGCTTGCAAGGGAGGTTCGTGGGGGAGCCCCTGGCTGCAGAGGGGAGCGGGGCCAGGCTGCAGGGATTCCCCGCCCTAGCGGAGCAGCCACGGGGCGGTGGGTCTCACGTTGCGAGGAGCCGCGAGCTGCGCCCCTCGGAAAGGGCGCGGGCGTGTGTCAGCGAGGCGGGGCCGGCGCGAGAGCTGGGCGGGGCCGGGCTCTAAAGTCCCGGCAGCCCCGATGTCCCGCCAGTAGAGCGGGATGGAGGGAAGCAGCGGCTGCAGGATCGAGCGGGACGCGGGGCAGAGGCTGTCCGCCTTCGACCTGCCCAAGGTGAGCAAGTGGGTCAGCACCGCCGGGCCGGGCAGCGAGCTCGGGAGCTGCGGCTCTGAGCCGGCTGCCTCCCCCCTGCTGTGGATGTTCCTGGGTCCGAGCCGGGGGCTGCGACCCTTCCCTGGGCGGCTCCGCGATGGGGCAGGCTCCCCTTACCTTGTCACCTGCCTACTCCCCCCCGCTTCCCCGGGCAGTGCGGGGACCCTGCCTAGAGCCAGATTTGTGGCCACTACGCCCGCAGGGCTGGCGGGCGGCGCGAGCTCACCCAGGTCTCCCGGGGACACGCGGAACGCGGGGGAGTCCCAGCTGCACCGCACGGGAAGGGCCGTTGTGCGGAGTCGGGCTTGTATTTACCTTGGGTGACTTTGCCAGCCAGAATCGACCCTTATGCTGGTAAGTGTTTGTGTTCTGTTGCTTCCACTTTCTCTTGCTCATCCTGCTGACTTATTATTTTTACTGCGATTAGCAGCACCCACATTGGGCTAGGCGCTGTCTATACATACAGGAAGACGTTGTCCGGTTCTTACCCTAAAGGGACTGTAGGAGGAAGCCTGGTCTGTGACAGCAGAACTGCAATACCTGTTGCTGCTGAGAGAGTCGCTGACGCAGCACTAACACAGTGTAACTGCAAGTGTTTGTAGTTTCCAACTACAGCGGCACCAGTTGTTGGTGCCTTTTGATAGCAGTGAGTGATGTTTGTGGGTAGTCAAAGCTTAGGAAAATAAGCAACATATAAAAAGATTGTTTATGCAAAAATAAACCATTAAAAAAACCAAGCACCAAGCATTAAATGAGCTAGAGATTGATGAAATCCTTTCACTGCAGTCACCAGAAAATATATCCTAGCAGTACTGTCAGTATATAGAGTTGATAACAATACAAGCAGTGAAGTGAAAAGTATCTAGCAGCACAAGCTAGCCTATAAAGAAAATGATGTGAGGGGTAAGATTTTGATGTTTAGCTCATGGTCTGTTGTATCCATCCATCCTGTCTCTCCCCCCTGCCCCACTTCTGTCCCCTCCCCAGCATCCAAGACTGGAGGGCAAGGGATGGCTAGACTCACTCCAGACAACTAAAAATCACAAAATATTGATAAATTTTGCAATTTTAGAATTAATTTCCATATTGGAAAAAGGTCTAAGAGACTGAGATTTAAACCTTCTGTTAATCTGAGCAAGCAGGAAAAGCAGACAAGAAAGATGACCTTCTAGGAATGACCTGGAAGATTCTTTGTTGATTACCCAAGTTTATGACATACCCATTAAGCCTCCTAGTGAAATCAGTGCTGGAAAAAGGTGTCAAATTGATGGTCATGGAGAATGAAGTCCTGTTTATTGGCAGACCAGGGATACAGCATGGGCAGTAGCAGTGCAAGATTCCTCCAAGCTAGCCTGCCATTGTAGCTCAATGCTGACCTGGAATTCCCCCATTAGAATCAGAGGAGAGTTCAGTCTACATGATGCATGTGGTCCTTCGCCTCTTGGCTGCTCCTGCCAACAAAGGGGGCAACTAGTGGTAGTATTTTTGGGTGGATACCTGTCTGCTTTGATCTGGACGGAGGCCACAAAATAACTTAGATGATACCTTTTAGTCACCATCAGTATGAGTTCCATCAGAGCCACTGATCTATAGATGAAATGCTGTGTATATTATCAATTCCCTGAGTCATCCAGCCTCCCATCACCTTTATAACCACCATCTAAAACAAAGGATATTATAGAATGTTCTGCTTGCAGCACATTGAAAGAATAATTTACATTCTGTGTTAGATGAACATACACCAAAAAGTTTGCTTGGTCTTATTGAATTTAGATAAATACATCTTTTGTGTAAAGTGCAATATGTTTGAAATTAAACGGTTCAGAAATAAGGATAGGTTCTAAGCTGATCTCAGTGTGTCTCCTTTAATGAAAAACAAAGGTCACTACACACATGTGTGCACACACCATTTTCCTTAATAGCTTATTATCTAAAATTTAGGCTTTCTGGAGAACCTCTAGCGGCAGAGTAGTCCATTGTTAGAAAAAATCAAACTGGGAGCTTATATATATATATATATATATATTAGCTTCAGTGACAGTGTGCTGATAATCACATGTTGATAGAATTTTGGGATATGTACTAAGGATGCAGTGGCTTTGGGTTATAGTGTGGTTTTTGTTTTCTTAGAACCCTCATTGTAACAGGCTTTCTGTTTCAGATTTTTTTTTCCGTATGTTTTGTTCAGGTCTTTGCTGGTGACGATATTCTGTCTGCCCAAAGACACCACACAGATCACAGCTGTAAAATGTACTCTGATATTTCACTTAGCCATTTGCAGTACAAATACATCTGAAGCAAGGTCATAGGTTTCACTTTACTTACACAAATCATGGTGTTCATTGTGTTTATACTTGGACAGAAAACATAAAGAAGGAGAGAGAGAGAAGAATAGAAAATAGATGCTTAGTTTCATATCCTTGGTCTCTTGCAGAGAACGTCACCAAAGAAGCCACCTCTTGGCTAGCTTCTGATCTCAGTTACTGTGGTGCAAACCTGGCATAAGTGATATCAGAATCTGGCTCTCTCTTTCCATGTTTGACTCACTTCAATCTTTGGTTTACTTTGGTTGCTGCTGGTAGGACAGAATTCAGCTTTCAACAGGAACTTCATCTAAGTGGATGGCAGCTAATTCTCTGTCTATGGCTAGTTATCCTCAACTAAAAGGAAGAAGAGACGAGGAAGAAAGAGAGTGGATGTGAGACATCACGTTATTGAGCCATCTTCCTGATTTTTCCGCACAGTGGGAGGTTAAGTAAAAGATAAACATCTGCCAGCTCATTAAAATTTCAAACAGCTGAAAATGCCTCTATTCTTTTTCAATTCCTGAGAAATCATAGAAATGTAGGACTGGAAGGGAGCTCAAGAGGTTATCTAGTCCAGTCCCCTACCCTGAGGCAGGACCGAGTATATCTAGGCCACCCATGGCAGATGTTTATCTAACATGTTCTTAAAAACCACCAATGATGGCGATTCAACAACTCCCTTGGAAGTCTATTCCAGTATTTAACTATCCTTATAGTTAGAAAGCTTTTCCTTATATCTACCCTAAATCTCCCTTGGTTCAGGTTAAACCTATTACTTCTTGTCCTACTTTCAGAGGACAATGGATCACTGATCTCTTTATAACCGCCCTTAACAGGTTTGAAGACTGTTATCAGGTCCCCCCCTCCTCCTTCTTTTCTCAAGACTGAACATTCTGAGTTTTTTTTTTTAACCTTTCCTCATAAGTCAGGCTTTCTAAATCTTTTATCATTTTTGTTGCTCTCCTGTGGACACTCTCCAATTTGTCCATGTCTTTCTTAAAATTGGTGTCCAAAACTGGACACGGTACTCCAACTGAGGCCTCACCAGTGCCAAATAGAGCAGGCCAATTACCTCCAATATTTTACATGTGACGCTCCTGGTAATACACCACAGAATTCTATTAGCCTTTTTTGCAACTGCATCACATTATCTCTCGTATTCAATTTGTGATCCATTATAATCTCCAGATCCTTTTCAGCACTTGGTCAGTTGTTATTCCCCATTTGATTTTTTCCTCCCTAAGTGTAGTGCTTTGCGCTTGCCTTTATCGAATTTCATCTTTTTGGTTTCAGATCAGTTCTCCAATTTGTCAAGTTCATTTTGAATTCTAATCCTGCCTTCCAGTTTACTAGCAACCCCTGCCATCTTGGTGTCATCCTCAAATGTTATAAGCCTACTCTTCACTCTGTTATCCAAGTCATTAATAAAAATGTTGAATAGTACCAGACCTAATACAGACCCCTGCAGGAACTACTTTTTGAGTACTGTTTTTCCATCAGTTGTGCACCATATTATAGTAATTTCCTCTAGACCACATTTCCCTAGTTTGTTGATGAGAGTAACGTGGGACTATATCAAAAGCCTTACTAAAATCAAGATATATCACATCTGCTGCTTCCTCCCATCCACTAGGCCCGTTATCCTGTGAAAGAAGGAAATTAGATTGGTCTGGCATGATTTGTTTTTGATAAATCCATGGTGGTCATTATTTATCATCCCATTATCCTCTAGATGCTTACAAGGTTCGTGATCTTTCATTCTCAGTTTTTTCTCCTCTTAGCTTGAGCTGACATCAGAAAAGTACAGCTACTTATAAAAGTCTGTACACAGGTATTCTTATACATGTTTTATTCCAGTAATGTGTGCGCCATCTCCAGTGGGAGATGCCTCTTTACAGCCATGCCGTCAAACCCCAGCCATCCTTGGATGTTAGGGACCAAATCCTACTTGGGGTGACAGTGATGGCACGTCAGAGAATCAGTGACATTTCATCAGTGCCATTAAAAGCAGAAATTGACCCACAGTGATTACTTTAATTTTTTGCCATCTGAAGCATAAATGACAGCTTCTCTCGTTTATGCATCTCACTGACTGTTAAATCAGTGGAGTAGCAGGAGATAGTAAAGATAAGATATGATCCAGGGAAAAAAAATGCTGTGCAATTTGTAATCTGATAGGTAGCCAAGTCATGCTTAGCATAACTTTTCCAGATCTAAATCAGTTAGTGAACCCAGATTGCCTCTGCTCAGTTGTGGCACCTTTTGGTGCCAAGAACTATCATCTTATTTCATAGAGACATTTACTGATAACTTGGGTGGCTTCATGGACCACCAAGAACAAGCTAAGCATAGGTCAGGACCAGAAACATAATGCCCCTTTTCCAGGAATTCAGCCTATTCACATAAAACATCATAAGAAGCATAGAAAGCAATTGAAGCTACCACCTGTGATTCTAACCCCTTCTCTTCCTGGATTTTAAAAGAGTAGAGAGTGAGAGCTTGTCAACCCTTTTTTTTTGACAAGAAGGATCTGTCACTCCCACTGAAACATGCATTAGACAATACAGAAGAAACTATCTTTTTGACATTGAGACTGTACTAAATACTGTTTGGATGTCTAATCTGTTTTTCCTAAGCAAGCTAATTGAGAAGCTA